TCTGTCTGTCTGTCTGTCTGTCTGTCTGTCTGTCTATCTATCTATCTATCTGTCTGTCTGTCTATCTGTCTGTCTATCTGTCTGTCTATCTGTCTGTCTGTCTGTCTATCTGTCTATCTGTCTGTCTGTCTGTCTGTCTGTCTATCTATCTATCTTCGAGTTTGACATCCACCTCCGAAAGGACCTAGCCAAATAGGCCATTCATGTTAAGTGTCTTTTCCAAGGACACAACGTCAGACCAAGCTGACGCTCAAATCCCCGGACCCGCTATCTCATGATTACGGGTGAAATGGTAAAGGTTTAGTGCCTCTATCAACACTATTAGGTTATTTAAGAGGCGGGACCTCCGACGTTAACGTCCATCTCCAAAAGGACCGAGCCAAATGGGAATTTCGTGAAAACTGCCTTTCCCAAAGACACAACGTCAGACCGAGCTGAAGCTCGAACCCCCAAACTCGTGGCCTAGAGGTTATGATGTTCGCCTCTCATTCAATAGGTCCCGGGTTCGAATCCCGATAGCGGCGGAAAATTTTCTTCTCTAAAATTGTCTCTTTTCACCTCATTTCCTGTTCTAGCAATGTTCTGTCGTCTGCTTTCGTCCCCACTTTCTGCCCTCACCCCTTCTCCTTTGCCCCCTCCTCTGGGCTCCTGACTCTTTCTACAGCCTTTCTACTGTTACTCCTTGGCTCCTACTTATTGATGTCTTTCAGCCACACCCTTGATCTTCTGGTAGGAAAGATCTACATCTAGTCTTCTCGGACAGGGGCGAAACATTTCTGAGGTCCCGTGTGCAAGTTGCGCTCCTTCAAGATCCCTTGGTGGTCCAAAATCGATAAGAGTAGATTTCGGCCGCCATCCGGGCAAAATTCAAAATTTCTTACCAACTGAAAATGTTTAATATGTCCCGCACCTTCATATAAGAGATAACATACATCTTTATTGTCCAGATCCTGGCACATTGGTTTGGTGATTCACCACGTACACACATACACACACGCACACGCTCATTAACACTCACACACACATACACACTGACTCTCTCTCTCTCTCTCTCTCTCTCTCTCTCTCTCTCTCTCACACACACACACACACACAATCGCACACGCGCAGGCTTACAGCCACGTGCATGGTATGAATGAACAGTACAATAATCTTAAGCTAGATGCATACCCAGTATTCTGATTGTAACTAAATGTTATTCTGATGAATGCTCTAAGGTCATATGAATGAGTTGCGAGCGCCGTAAAACTCTAACTAAAATAAAACGCCACACGGGTCCAGTCTTGAACGTTAGCATAGAAAAGCAACAGTGTCCGGTTCTAATATGTTAAATGTTTTACGACTCAATCAAAACAAGTTAGGTCCTATAGGAGGCGGGATGTTTGGGCCTCGCCTCTGTGGGTTAATGTGAGCTGCCTGTGGTTCTCCATGTTTGCAGAAATACTGTGTAAAATACACCCCCATACCAGAATTAATTGAACCCACGTCTTATGCGTACAAGATGAAAAGCTCGCCTTACTCTGGTCTTTACCGTTTTTTATTGAATGATCCTGAAAGACAGTTCATGAATGCATACAAGTGCAACGTAGTATGCCCATCAGAGAATGGGATGGTCATAGGCTCTGGCGGGTCCTACTTGTTTTCTTTCCTTTTGTCGTCCCATTTTATCTCCCCGTTTGTCAACTGGCAGCTTGAGGAAGGTGACCGGAGAGCGTTTGTGGTTGGTCCTATTTCTTTTCTTTCCTTCTGCAGTTTCTGTCTGTCTGTGGGTGGTTGATGGGGGCTCTGGTGTTGATTGCTCTGGTGTAATTTGTTTCTTCTTTTCCATCAAACATCTGTTGTCCTTATTTCTCCTCCTTTTTTTTTGGTATGTTACTCCCTAGTAAAACCTCCAGTCTTTGGCTTTTATATGAGATATTTGTGTTGTATGTAAGTGCCGTAAAATTCTTACTAAAACTTACACTTTTGTGTTCCTAACAACGCTTGCTCCTTTCTTTAAATGGCCATGGTCGTTACGGAAGGCTTCTCGTTGCTCAAACTGATTTAAATTTAAAAAATGATAGAACCGTTTTCATCCGTTGATTTTATTTTACGTTCATGCTTTCAGCGCTGGATCCTCTTGGTCCTGCTCAGTCCTTGGAGGTTGTGAAGGAGATCAAGCTGCACAAAACGTTCAATGGTGTGTTCAGTGTACAGTTCAACCACACAGGCTCCCTGCTTGCTGTGGGCTTTGGCAGTGGAGGTGTCCAGGTAGGGCAGCTTTATGTGTGTATGTTTGTATGTGTGCGCACGCGTGTGTGTGTGTCGGTGTGTGTGTGTGTGTATGTGTGTGTGTGTTGTGTGTGTGTGCGCGTGTGCGTGTTTGCATGTGTGTGTGTGGGAGAGAGAGAATGAAAGAGAAAAGTGAGTGGGAGAGAGGAGGGTGGTAGAGAATGAGAAAAAAAGACAGACACACACACACACACACACACAC